TTTACCATGTAAAGCTAACTTAAACCAAGTTAGAAATGGAAAAATAGTTTGGAACACTTTTCTATAGGCATAAACCCCTGTAGTACCCCTTTTCAGCATTCTCCACCCCTTAACTGGTAGTTGTAGCTGTTCCCAACCATAATAGCTTACACACCAGGTGCATATAGTTTAAGACCTTATGTAAAATCCCCTTCATAAGCCCACCTTAAACCACATAATTGCATGACACATTGAACCAGAACGGCACAGGCTGGACGTCGCTGGAGACAACCTTCGCTGGAGGCGATCTGCAATCCTGACGTTGGTCTCAACTCTTCATCCAGTGGCCGCTTCTTCAGTTCAATCCAAGGGTACCCCTCTGTATGCTGATTAATCAACACTTCCAATCGCTGTGGATTTACCGTTGTGGATTATATGACTTTTTCCAATGGATTACAGACTCTGTTTCCAAGGGGTTAAAGCATTGCTACAATGGGATTACCGAGACGATATGGGATTATAATCAACACAATGGAATACCAAGAACATTGTGGAATTACCTTGACTTTGTTTCCTTGCTGGATTACTTCTGACTTTGGTCTTCCTTGCTGGATTACTTCTGACTTTGGTCTTCCTCGCTGGATTACATCAAGCTCAAGGACATTTGAAGGTCTAAGTTCACGGTTGGAATTCATCCCCATGGACAGGTGATGATTTCCAAAGGGGGGACTGTAGTGAACCAGATGACCTCAAATCTACCAGATGGACAGAGACTGTTATTTTCATTGATCTGAATAAGTCTGAACCATCTGATGACTTTCTTTCTTGAATTAATCAAGCAGAAAAGACAATTCTTTATAATCATTGGAGAAGAAATGTCATGTTTAAACTTTTTCAGAAGATTACAAAGTGTGAGACTCCAAAAAGTCTGCTGCTTCTGCAATAATCTTTTCTGTATGTTAAACAAGTTTCATTCTCTGACCTCGACTGTTGATAAACACCTTACGTCAAAAACACACCTCTTTCTGGTCCTTCCACGAATCAGAAAGCTCTAAACTGAACAGGAAGTAAACTCATTTAAAATGTGACAACTGCCCAGTTCAAGTTAGAATGAGAGCTGACAACAGATTGAGAGTTCTGGAGAACGTGAGAGTTCCAAGATTGAGAGTGCAGTCGGTTCTGAAAGCTTCAGAGCAATGAAGAATCCAGAGGTTTTTGGGGATTATAATTCTGTTTTGAGCTAATCAACGCACGACTTTCTGAAGGTTTGGTAGCTCTCGACGGAGACGCTGAAACGAGTCAGAAAGGAACTACTCCAAGGCTGATTCATCATCAACAGGTAGATGGTTCTATTTTGACCAAGTGTACCGTGAGAAGCTGAGATCGGACGGAGCGTGCAACTTCTGGTCAAACAGATTAAATTCCCTCACATATTTCCTCTGTAAGATAAATCTCAATTTAATCTTAAACTCTTCTCTCTCATAAATCAGTACAGATATTTTTAGAAATGTCTGAAGCAAAGTCCTCAAATCACCGCCGAGTGATTTGAAGTTCATTTTCTGTGAAACTGTCTGTTATTATTTTCATATTTTGCCAAATTAATGTAAATGTTTGATGTTAAACTTTGATTTTGAAAATAAATGATTCCATTCATTTGATGGGTCAAAGATAAATAACGTCTCTCGTTCACATTTCTGTTAAATTCAATGCACGGCATTTACAGTCAGAAAAATGAAGAACTCGTGAATATTGTATGCATATATAATTCATATATTTGTCATACAACAAGTGACACGTACCTCACGTGACTCACTACATTAAGTAACCCGGAATCAGAAAATAGTTATCATTCCAGGTAAATATAGCAAACTACAAAGGAAAACTCTTTAGTCTGTTACTGTGACTGTCACCATTCAATTAGTTTATTTATATAGCACCAAGTCACAACAAAAGTCATCTCATGGCACTGTACAGAAACTGTTACCATTAATTCAATGACATTTACAATTATGCTATTTTTGCACATTTGGATCCATTATGTGACTCATCAAAGTTCAAAAATTTTTTTTTTGCAAAAACAAATACACAAACCACAATTTAATGCATAATACATATATATATAAACAAGTTGAGAGGTCATTAAATATACTACTTTTTTCCAATATATTTAATATTACTTGGTTTATATGAATATAAAACAACTTTGTATTTACATTCCTTTAAATTTATGTATTGTAGGTAAAATTTGTACAGTTCTTGTATAAATACGCTCAGCTGGTTTCCACTTCTAAAGCCTATAGTTTATTTTGTTTTGGTTTTTGTTAACTCGCAAAGTAGTCTGGGTTTAGAGCCATAGATATGGTCAGAATCACACAAAGCATTAAATAATGCAGATACAGGTTTTCCAGCTGACAATCAGCATGAATGAATAAACACTACCTTGTAATTACAGACTTGAACAATATGCCTGATGCTGTCTGTTCCTCAGACTCCGTCACTTTTCCCTCCATTTGTCCCCAAAGTCACCGACTCATTCATTGGCTTCCACATAATGACCACTGAAATGGGTCATTTTGTCTTATTGACACAGCTTGGACATCATGGTGTGTCAGTATAAGGATCATAGTTTCTATACCAATGGCTGCTGTTGTGGATGAAAGTCCCAGCTAACGACCTCTGCTGTGGTTGAGTCTGTCTTACTGTCTGTTAGTCCATCTGTTTGTCTGAAAAACTCTGGAGGCTTTTTAGGAGACGTATACAGGCAACAACACTGCTTGCACTTATGAATGCATTTATTCATTCCCTCTTGTGAAAACACACACACACACACACACACACACACACACACACACACACACACACACACACACACACACACACACACACACACACACACACACACACACACAGCCTTGTTTATATCACCTAGTTGGGACTCAAGACAAGGCCATGCTTTCTGGGAACCTCCCTTTCTGAAGGTAATACAGCTCTGCAAAAAATCATGTAGCATGCTAGAGGGGCAGGGAACAAAGAGGGCACTTTGAATTTACAATAAGACAAAGTAGAGTTCCCAACTTGACAAGAACCTGCTTATTGGGGACTTCTCAGGTTTTTAGTACTGAGTGGGGTACTACATACACACTTGTCAGGTTTTCAGTACTGAGTGGGGTAATACATACACACTTGTCAGGTTTTCAGTACTGAGTGGAGTAATACATACACACTTGTCAGGTTTTCAGTACTGAGTGGACTAATGCATACACATTTGTCAGGTTTTTCGTACTGAGTGGACTAATGCATACACATTTGTCAGGTTTTTCATACTAAGTGTGGCAATACATACACACTTGTCAGGTTTTCAGTACTGAGTGGAGTAATACATACACACTTGTCA